TGGGTATACAATTTTCCTTTGTTGTCTCATAATCCTACCTCCCGATAGGTCTTGATAATTTGTCAGACTCGAAGTGGTCACAGTTAAGGGAGCTTGAACCTTTAATCGTTAACTACCAACAAGTAGATGATCGATAGCGGCGATGCTACAGCTAGTTAGATAAAGTGGCAGTGACCAGATGTCCGGTTTTAATAAATTTGAATGTCATTTACACGTAGGGGGCATTTTTGATTCGGAGAAAGTCGTTCGTTCAATCCGAACGAAACTGAAGGGTAGGCTTGTGCTGGCTACTAACTAAAATGCTAGAATGTTCCTCTAAATGCAAACACCACAGAATTTGCGTCTGGCAGTATGCATGGACTAGGCAAATCCCATTGTTAACTGAAATAATTTCTTCTCGCAGTTCATCTGTGTGGCGTTCAGTTGCGATGTGGGTCAGAGTCTCCGTGTTAAACATCCATGAGTAATTGCTTCTTGAAGAATCTAAAGGCTGGCTTTTGAAAAATCGTTGCGTACCTCGTATGGGTTGTGCAGCTTAACAGTTATTTCTGTTCCTTTTGTCCCCTTATACTGGTTGAGTAACTGAAAATAATATAATTTTCTGATCGTTTTATTATTAGTCATGATTACCTGGATGATAACGATGATTTTAAGTTTACATAACCCAATAATAAGGTCTGGATTTGAGCCTGAGGCACCGTAATGCGTCTTTAAATTTGTCTCCTTCCAGGCAACGTCATGACTACAAATGTGAATTTCTTTCATTTTCATCGAACATCATTTCTAACGTTGGTTTCCTGTTAATTTGGTTAATTATGGGGAAATCTAAGGTTATCCCACACGCACTTCCATTATTTACTGTTTCTTTATGGCTGCTGGTTTATTTGACCCAGGGCTTGGAATCTTAGTCCTTAAATGCCTTATAAACGTACAGGGGTGTGATACTGACAAAGTCCTCACTTCCTCTTGTTATTAATTGAGCCGTATTCTGTAGGCTAACAACAATGTCAAAGTGTCTTCAATGTTTATTAAAAATAAAGCAATGCCGCTTTAGCTTCGGAACTTTTTGGACGGGAATTTGTTAATTTGGAGCTATAAATTGATTGAAGGTCTTATGCTTAGATGATTCATTACTCTCTAATAGACCATATGCATTCCTCGTTATCGAAAGCACTCGCCTGCACTATTTTCTCCTTCATATTTCGACCATCGATTTGGATTATGTCCACCATATGCTCCAGACAGTTTGGTGCAGAAAGGTGACTAGCGACAGGGGTTAGTTTTAAGTGAATATAGACGTTGCACACCGTCTACGACACTGTCTACCTTAATTCGCCACAGCCGGTGTCATGGCAGATTCAAGATGACTGAAACTGTACTTACTTGTACTTGTACTTGATCCGATTAGCTCCTGTTGTTGGATGAATCGG